AAGGGCACTGGAAATTGGATGGAGTTGGCAGTTGTTGTGTGTCTTGGACTGGTGCCCTCAACAGCGTTGGGCACGATGGGGATAGAACCCTGACTCTTCTCCGGCCAGTCGGAAACAAGATCTTTCAAGTACAGTCTGTTGTGTGCGCGATAAGTACCTCGCGTTCTCGTTGGCTGGGGCCCTGCCAAGGCTGATCCGGCCCACGTGGGAGTGCGCACACCTCACTTGAGACAGCGGCTGTCCTACCGCTTGCCAAGTTGCGAGTGGATCAGAGGAGTATGAAGAACTCCTTCGTGTTTCCTGTGCATGTCGGAACTCAGCACTCCCTGGGCTCGCACAGAACAGAGCTAGGCTCTGAGCAGGGGGGCAGAGCATGGGGTTGTGGGGTGCTTGGTTCAGTTCCAGTGCTTTGCAAGGCTGGGTCGTGGGAAGCCATGACCCCCGTGGACCTCCCGCTCAGGTACTACACGTGTGTGTCTGCATTGCATGTGGTGGTCCACGGTAAAGGCTCCCCCTTCTCTCGCTGAAGCCAACAGGAGTTATGCCATTGGCATGAATGGGAGGTGGATCAGTCCCTGGCAGCTCCTCCTCAATAGAAACCAGGGGTTCCCCCCCATGGGTAGCGGGGGAAGGCAAGCCTGAGCCCCGCCCCCCATGGAGCTAAGCCCCGCCCAACCCCAACCTTCCTAGCCACCTGGAGGGCTGGGGCTGCCGTGGAGTGTAGGCGTTTTGAGGAAGGCAGCGCCTTCCCTTGCCTGCATAACCCGCCACCTACTGTTCTCCCGTCCGTAAGCCACTGCAGCAGAACAGTGATGCTGCTGGCCGGAGTGGCTGGATCTGCTTTGCAAGTGAAGAGCCGTTGCCTCTTCCGCCACGCCGCCCAGGATGTCGCAGCGGAAAAAAGGAAAATCGGAAAAGCCCCCAGGGATCGTTTCACTGAAATGCCATTTTTGTTCCCGTTCCCTAGGTGTTCACGGAGAGTGAGTTCCCCAGCAGAGGAAATATCCCAAGGAAACCATCAGTAACTGTAAAACTCAGCGACTGCGCTGAGCCTGGGAAAAAGCGCTGGGCAGATTCGAGGACGAGCTTCTCAGCTCCGCTTTCAGTCTCCGAGAACCCTGCTGGTTCCTTCGATGGCCACGGGCGAAATTTGTCTCTTGCTCCGTCCGTTGTGAGGCAGTCCAGAGAGACGCAAGAGGACCCAGCGAGAGGGCAGCAGGTGTGGCTCTGTGAAGGCTCTTGAGGTTTGGGCTAAACCCACAACCATCTCTAGCTTGTTCCAAGCTGGGAAGTGGACATTTCCCCGTGGAAGCATTGTTGTCTATTCAGGGTAGCCGACAGGATGTTGGGCCCCTGGGCTATGTGGGGGCAGGGATGAGGCCATAGCCAGAAGGGGTGGGGCCAGAGCAGCCAGCCCTCAGTGCTGCCCAAACGTGCGGTACCTCCTCCTGCTCCACAGCTAGAGCATATGGCATGGGGCTTTGGAGCACGCCACCTGGCCCACCTGTGGTGATACTAAAGGGCCGGGGACCCCGGGCCCCTGCACCCTTCCCTGCCGTTGGTTGGTCTGTGTCTGTTGCACAGTGAATCACGCCCTAAGCAGCACGTGGTAAAAGTTCAATGTGGTTTCCGGGGGCTCTTGTTCCTTTCCACCCCCCGCCATGTGGTTCTTGCCCAGCTCTCTGCTTCTTGTGACCCACTTCTGGAAAGGGGCTCTCCCGACCTGGCCTTCTCATCGAGAACCTCTTCGGGTTGAAAGAGACATTGGCCCCCTCCAAAAAGCATGGTCGTGTCTTACCACTCGACGGAGCGCAGAAGTGAATCCGCCCCCACACAAGGCCTGGCTGTAAGTAAGTGGCGGTGCTTTTGATTCCGTAGGCCGGCCAGCCTCCCGGAAGGGAAAATGCTGACACAGAAAGCGATTCTCCCCAGGACCAAGATGCTGCAGAAACCAGCAGCCAAGAGCAAACGCATCCAAATTGGCAGAAGGAGCTGAAGAGCCTCCCTGCTGCTGTTGAAAAGGTTAGATGCCTGCAGTGTCCCTCCGGCTCAGAAGGGATGTGTGCGGGGACAGGACACGCATTGCCACGGCTTTTCTCCTTTGCAGATTCTCTTCCTGGAGACACGGGAGCAGGCTCCTGACACAGCCATTCTGCTGACCAGCTCTGCAGGTGGCTACATACACGCCTGGTCGGTCAGTAGGGAAGGGGGCATGCTGGGCAAATTTCGGGCAGTGCACGGGGACGATGTGAATGCAGTAGTTGGGACCATGTCCACGGATCCAGACGACTTCATCTTGCTGACTGGAGATTCCCTAGGCTACATTAAGGTGATCGCTTTATTACTTGTGAGAAACAGCCTCGTGGAGAGTCTGACTCATAGAACACTAGAACTGGAAGGGACCTTGAGAGGTCTTCGAGTCCAGTCCCCTGCCCTCACGGCAGGACCAAGCACCGTCTAGACCATCCCTGCCAGGTGTCTGTCCAACCTGCCCTTACCTACCTCCAGGGATGGAGATTCCACAACCTCCCTAGGCAATTTATCCCAGTGTTTAACCACCCTGGCAGGAAGCTTTTCCTAATATCCAACCTAAACCTCCCTTGCTGCAGTTTCAGCCCCTTGCTGCTTGTCCTGTCCTCAGAGGCCAAGGGGAACAATTTTTCTCCCTCTTCCCTGTGACACTTTTAGATACTTGAAAACCGCTCTCCCGTCCCCTCGGTCTTCTCTTTTCCCAACTAAACAAGCCCAATTCTTTCAGTCTTCCCTCAGAGCTCATGTTCTCTAGACCTTTCATCATTTTTGTTGCTCTTCTCTGGACATTCTCCAATTTCTCCATCTTTTTGAAATGTGGTGTGCAGAACTGGACACACTACTCCAGTTGAGGCTTAATCAGCGCAGAGTAGAGTGGAAGAATGACTTTTCATCTTGCCCACAATACCTGTTAATGCAGCTCAAAATCATGTGGTTTTTTTGAGCAGCGTTACACTGTTGACTCATATTTAGCTTGTGGTCCACTATGATCCCTAGTCCCCTTTCTGCAGTATCCTTCCTAGACAGTCACTTCCCATTCTGTATGTGTGAAATAGATTATTCCTTCCAAAGTGGAGCACTTTGCATTTGTCCTTATTAAACTTCATCCTGTTGACCTATTAACCCTTTCCTATTTACTCTGAAGAGAGGGATTGAAAAGTCCTAGGATTTGTGACTTGTGTGCGGGGCAACCAGCTTGTTCTGTGGAGAGGCTGGGAAAGTGATGAGCTGTGTGAAAACGTGAGATCTTGATTGAAAATCCAGTAAAGGAATGAACAAAACTGGAGTGCGAACGGGATTCTCTCTTGTCCTAGCGATGTCATAAGAATGAAAACTGGGGAATGAGTCAATGCATCACTCGTAATACGGTGAATGGGAGCGGTACGGCTGGTTGCTTCCTTTACTTTCAGGGGGATGGCTCTGTAAATGAAAATTAAGACATTACTAACAAAGTCTCTCCTTAGATCTGGGATATTGAGAATTACTGCAAATCAAAAGAGGTAAAAGTTTCCAAGACCAGAAAGACAGAAACATCTCATCGAAATGAGAACATGTTTCGTGACCTAATCCCAAAACACTGCAGAGTCCCTGCCGGAAGAACCCCATCTATGGAAACTAATGAGGTAGCGCATTGCCGAATTTGTGCTGTAGAGAGTTTGTTACACTAATTAGCCGTCATGCAGCCTTGTTTCCCTAAGCTCTTCTCGCATTCTGGGTATTTCAAATGTTTTGCTATGGACTGAATTTTCAGTAGGCTCTAGTCTGATATCCCTGTGTAATAAATGGGACCTGTGCTTAAATCACATAGGCGCTTAGGAAAATCCCATCCTATGCCCACAAATATTGCCCATGCATTTGTAGAAGCTTGGTGACGTATGACTGCCAATGTGGGTCATGTTCTCCCAGGGCACCTCGAACACCTCCTCCTTCAGCCCTGCCCCAGAGCTGATTTTAAATAAATAAAACCAAAAATGAACTGAGTGAAGGAGCCAAGCAACGCCGGGTACGTCTTCTAGAAGGTTATAAAGGCTCGTGCCACGTTGGAATGAAGCTGTCTCGCAAGGGATCCGCTTCACAGATTCATTTCTCACGTCATGTTCTGCAGGTCCTGGATGGCTGGAGTACCAGCCTCACCCCCCCAGATCTTCTCAACGCCTGGAGGGGGCATCTGAAGAACGTGTCCCACGTTGTGTACGTGGAAAAGCTCAGGCTGATCGTGACCTCCAGCTACGACTGCAATGTCAAACTCTGGATGCTCTCGGGCAGGCACATAGGTACACTTGTTTGGCGATCAGCTGGCATTTTCAAGAGATCCACCTTTCGGGTAGACAGATCTTAGCAAAATGATTGCTGTGTTAGGTCACAAACAGCTTCCTCACCGAAGTGCCGTTTGCTCATGCCGCAGCATCCTGACCTGAGTAGGGTGGTGGGCTCTCAGCTCAGTCTAAATTGGGTGCCGCCAAAACACTATGTCCTGAGAAACAGTCTGAGCCCGGCTGTAGCTTTGGGTATAATGTGAGGGACGTGTCAGCCCACAGCCAACCACCATGAAACGAAAACTATGAAGGACATCGCCTCCTGGGGCAAGACCCAGCTGAAAATCTTCAGGGAGAGAGAACACTGCTAGTCAGCACGGCCACACTGGGTCGGACTAATGGTCCATGCAGCCCAGGGTCGTGGCTGCCCACAGTGGCCAAGCCAGGTGCCCCAGACGGAGGGAACGGCTGGGTCTGAGCTGCACTGGTAGGACCTTGCCAGCGGATCTAGGGAAGTGACTATCCCCCTTTTTACGCGGCTCTGGAGGGAAACGAGGCAGTTACTTGGGTGACTGTTCCTGTCCCAGCCAGCCACAGCTGGCACAACGCTGCGGGCGGGGGGCTCGCTGATGTCCAGCCATTGCTCGTGGAGTGAGATCGGCCCGAGCACACGCGGCGTGCTGCGGCCAGAGAGCTTTCCCCACGGGGTGCTAACGGACTCTGAGAGCAGAGGGACTCTCAGGAACATGTCCAGGCAGGCGGTCGCAGAGCACGTGCCATTTGCTATTTGTGATGCGGTAGCACCCCGAGGCCCTTCCTAAAGCGGGGCTCCCTTTGGGCGAGTAGAGAGGCCCTGCCCCTAAGAGCCTAGACCTGAGTGGAGATGATGGGCGGGGTGGCAAGTGCTGTGCACTGTAGTGATCTCTAGAATGTAAGAGCGGCCAGGCTGGGTCAGACCAAAGGTCCCGCCTGCCCCGGGTCCTGTCTGCCCACCATGGCCAATGGCAGGTGCCCCAGAAGGAGGGATTGCAACAGGGAATCCTCACGTGATCCCTCTCCTGTCTCCCACTTTCAGACAAAGAGACTAGGGACACCATCCCTACCCAGCCTGGCTAATAGCCATCGATGGACCGAACCTCCATGGATCTATCTAGCTCTTTTCTGAACCCTGTTAAAGTTCTAGCCTTAACCATATCCCCTGGCAAGGAGTTCCACAGGTTGATTGTGTGCTGAGTGAAGAAAAACTTCCTTTTGTTTTTTTTAAACCTGCTGCCTATTAATTTCATTTGGTGACCCCTAGTTTTATACTATGGGAACAAGTAAATAGCTTTTCCTTATTCACTTTTTCCACACCACTCATGATTTTATAGACCTCTCTCCTATTTCCCCCCCCCCCTTTCTAAGCTGAACAGTCCAACTCGAACTGGCCCACAGGCTCTTCTTTAGGTAGGTGGGGGGCTGCTTTTTGGGGCTCAGCCCCGCAAAATTCTGAGTTCTCTCCCTTCCTACTGGCTTGTGCTTAGCTCTCCTGATGGGCCCTGAGCGCCTGTCCCTGCTTCAGCCCTGAAGCCTGTCTGTGGTGTGTAGGGCTGGCGGGAGATCCAGGTTAGCTTTTAGAAACACAAGAATGGCTGGTCTGGGTCCAGCGGCATAGCGAAGGAGGGGTGGGAGTGAGTGCACTGCGCAGGCTCACCTGGCATGGGCGGCAAGTTATATGGGCATCCATTCCCCCCGTCCCCGTCCCGTCCCTGCCGTGTGCAGCGTTCAGTCGGCTCCCCCTTGCCGGTGTGCACTGCCAGGTGCTGCTGCTGCCATGCGCGGCGTTTCCAGGTGACTGGGGAGATGCCTGGGCGTAGCGTGACGTCACGGCCCGGGACTTTAAAACTGCTCGGCGCTGCGCAGCCTAGCTCTGGGTTTGGGGTCTGGGGACTGGCGACCGAGTCAGCCCTCATTCTCACCCTTCCTTCTGACCGGCAGGGACGTTTGGGCAGTCGCTGTGGAACGTCAAGCTGCAGCACCTGAGGCCGGCCAAGGTGCCGTCTGATATCCGCAGAGTTGGCTCCACCCAGACCCTGAAAGTGCTGAACGAGGGCGAGTTCCCGCATTGGGAGTGAGTGTCTCGAAAGAGTCACGTTTGAGCACGTGCCTCGCTAGTGGGAAGGAATGTTCCGTGCGCCGGCTGCAGCTGAACTCGACGGAGTGGGCAGCCATGGGGAAAGGGGCTGCGGTGGATCGGCCCTGCAGCGAGGGATCCACCGGTTGTCGATTTATTGCGCTTGCTTAGATGTGATAAATCAATCTTCGAGCACACTCTTGTCAGTGCTGGTACTCTCCCCAAGATGAGAAGGATCGTTGGCATTGATGGAGAGCTGGCTCAGCTGACCTTACTCACGCACAAGACGCTGCAGTGTGTTGACTTCAGTTACACTATTGGGGTAGCTGAAGTGGATCAGCGCCATGTAGCGTAGATGAGGCCTTAGAATAGGGAGGGCACAGCTGGGCCTTGAGAGCAGCCCGTGTTAGAAGCAGAAATGCTGAGTCCCACCATGAAGTAGGAATTGCGGTGGTCTGAGGCCAGGTCTGTGCTAGACCTGGAAGGTTGGGTTAAGTTACACACCTCCAGCAATATAAAATACATAGCTGGAATTGGCTTACTTCACAGAGGGAGGCCGACAGGAGCAAACACTCCCATCGGCTTCCCTTACTCCTCACAACTGCGAGAAATACTGGCGCTGACTGGAGCTACCCTCAGTGTTTGATTTAGCAGGTCTTAACTAGACCCGCTAAATCAAACGCCAGAAGATCGATCTCTAGCACAGCAAGTGAAAACATGGCCCGAGAAAACAATAGCTAAAGGGCTTGGGAGGTGAGAATGGAAGACTTTTTCTGAACACAAAGAAGGTCCGTTTCAAGGCCTCTCAATTTATCCTAATTGTTTTGTATAGCCATAATACAGCCTCTGCTTTAAATATTCCCTCGTTAAATGAGCAGGCTGTGCTAGGAAGGAGGGGAAAGGCTTAGTCGTTTGCTGTGGAAGTTTAACCCTCTCCTTATGCCTCTGTGCCCAGGGGTACTCGAAGCATTATGCAAACGCTCAGCCAGCAGAAGAGGCAACACTCCATGCTGACGGAGTTTGTGCAAGGAAAATCCAGCATGATCTCGGCTGCTAATCTGAACTTTCAAAGAATGATCCAGAAGGAGAAGCACCTCACTGGCTACATGGAGGAACAGATTGAGGCGGAGTGGAAGGAGTGGGAAGAGAAGGGGAGGCTGGTGAGGAACCCGTGGTGTTGTCTGACGCTGCTTGAAGGGGGGGAGCTACCGAGGGCTGGAGGGAGACTCTTGCAGAGGGGAACAAACGAAGGAAACCCTTTTCTTTTTAATGCAATTCTCGCAGAAGAGTAAGATCCTGGGCTCCTCCTACAAGCCAAAACTGAGGCGTCACTTATCTGATTTCCTCCCGGATGTGAGGGCCTGTGTTTCCAATAAAGAGCAGGTCAGTTGCTGGAAGCTACGCCAGGGCGGCAATAAAATGGTGGTGGTTCATCAGGGTTTGCCCTGGGGGGCCCTTGCCACTGTATTTACCAGAGGCACCAGTGAGCACCGCTCCCGTTGGACAGGAATGGCTAGTTGCAATTCCCCCAGACCTGTGGAGGCGCAGATCAATATGGGGGCCGGTATTTGCCCACCCCTGAGCTACACCCTCAGGGCCTGTCCGAGGGAGAGGTTGTTAGTCCTTGACAATGGAAAGGCGGTGTCGTGTCAGCCTCTACAAACTTCCAAACAAGATTCCTTTTGTCTGGTCCAGGCCAGGGTCTATCACTGTATCCAGTATGCCGACCTGCAGGATGCCACCCCTCCTCCCGTTCTTGAGCTGTTGGGGGAGATGCAACAATTTCAAGCAAACTTGAGGCGAAAATCCAAGTCCGGGAGGAGGTTATCGACCTTTTCTCAAAAGCAGAGTCTGAGGGCGCAACGCAGTAAATCGGCTTCACGCACAAACTTTGCTGGAAGAAACGCGTCAGGCCCTTTGAAATAGATTGATCTGCAATAGGAAAAAATGAATGTGTGTGGAGAAAAAGCAACCTCCTACCTCTGTTTTCTTAACAGACTCGAGGCCATACAAGATACATGCATCACGTATTGCTTGCACTAGTCAGACACATTCCGGCCATCTGGTTTTATGTGTATTCAGAACCATTTTTGGGCCGGTAATGCCATGGACAGAAGGCTGGTGCAAATAAAGCTCACGTTTATTTTACCTACCAGCTTGGAGTTCAATGCACGGCATGCCCGTAGTGAAGGGGGCATGGGTCTGGAAGGGCTGCCAGGCGGAGTCCTGCCAATGGTGAAACGCTCCTTGTTGAAGAGATGTAGGAAATCAGGAGGGAATGTTTCATGGAGCACGCCAGACCCCAATGCAGCGTGCTGCAGGGAGAAGTTAGGGCGGACAGGTTCTAGAGACTTTCGGTGTCGATCGCAGGGTTGTTTGGGGTTTGTAGGGAGGGGCTCCTCTCTGGTCTCACTAGCTAATGTATAATCCTGAGGAAAAAGTCGATTCTGTCATCCTATGTTGAAAGTATTTAACCAGAGCAGGCTGGACAGACGCCTGTCAAGGATGGTCTAGACTAGTGGTTCCCAAACTTTTCGGCATCACGGCATCACACCCCCTTTTTGACTTTTGAGAAACCCTCACGCCCCCTCCCCTGCCAGAATAGCAGCAAAACTTGTTGGGGGGGGGGGAAGGAACTGACTGAGGACACAAACAATAGCAAAACTTGGGTGGGGATTGATAGGGAAGAGAGGGGACTGGGTCGTCTCGCGCCCCGCCCGGAGTTTCTTCATGCCTCCCCAGGGGGGCATGCTGCCCAGTTTGGGGACCCATGGTCTTAGACAGTGCTCGGTCCTGCCATAAGGGTAGGGGACTGGACTTGATGACCTCTCGAGGGCCTGTCCAGTTCTCTGATATATGAATATTTACCGGCAGCCGCTTTGCTGAGCGTGGTGCGGACCCTTGCAATAGCTCTGTCAGACAGGCGGGGCTCCGTTTTCTAGGTGGGTGGAAGGTGCGACTTGCTCAGTGCTCAGGAGTTAGCTCTTTTTACAAAGGAGTGTGATGTTTTGCTGCCCTTGGCTAGTCAAAGAAGTAAAAGAATCTTTACGACTTGGAGCGGGTGTCGCCCTGCAGATGGGCCATGCTGGTGAGGCCCTCGCTCAGCCAGGATATGAAAGTGTGGTCCAGCTGACAACAGCTTTGCAATAACTTGGGTAAACGCAAGAATACGATGGGCTATTGCTGCCCTCTGGTGGCCATCAGAGGGCACATGAGCGACAGGTGCAGAACTGCATGAACTTACTCAATATATGAACATCAGCGCCCCTTGTCAGTCCTCCCCACTGGCTACGGACGCTTAGCGTCCCCCATCCTCTGAAAGCATGGGCAGAAATACGAGCCCCCTGGGGAAACCACCCCCAGGTTGTGTGTTTCAAGATCTTGGAGTGAGCCAAGCCAAATCTGTCCAGCTCGAACACTGGCAAAGGAAAATCCCTTTTCTTTCCATTAAACATTTGCAAGTTACGTCAACGTTGTCAGGCTCCTGTGATCTTAAACAATTCTGACTGCAGCCTAGAAGGGCCGACGGGAGTAGAATAATTTGTACGCTCCTCATGGACCCGCTGTCAGAAAAGGGGATCTGATGGCAAATAAGTGGAGCGCTTCTCTTTGGCGTAAGGTGGTGCCCTCGATCCATTGTAAGTGAGAGAGTCCTGCAGACCATGCAAGGGAAACTTGAGACAGTTACAAACCGAGTGGCCGGATTCCCATCCCATGTGGCACGTGTGTGACTCACCACGATCATCTGCCAGGGAGAGGGGACTGAGGCAAAAGATGCCGTCGCTTGCCCGGTCGGAGGACATGTGAGCGGCAGAGCCAAGCGTGGACCTTGGCAGCCAGCCCTCTTCGCTCCTTGGTCAAACCGCTAGCCGGCACTTGCATCTGAATCTCCCTGCCTTGGTGATCCCTGGATAGGCAAGGACCCCCATGGCACTGACCTGGGGGGGTGCTGCCACGCTTGTGGCCCTGGATCCACGCTGGTGCTGCACTCATTGGTTGCTGTTGTGCTGGGTGTGACAAGGGGGGGGGGCGGGGTTTCTGTT